ACATTTAGATGCCAAGAAGCTCAGAAAGTAACCGACTGTGACTAGTAATAATCAGATATATAGAGATTAGAAATGCATGTGCAAACATCTAAGTGTTAATTGCATTAAAAATGAATTTTTCTGTATGAAACTGTGTATTTTAATAATGAAATAGAAATTTTTTTAAAGATTAAAACCTCAATTTTATGTCTTATAGGGTTTATACTGAGAAAAATATTGTATAATTATTAATTCAACTGTAAACCTAAAAATTTACAGCCAATTTTGAAAGAGATGTACCCTAGCTCAGAAAAATGTTATTGAATAGGTTAATGCTGTTGTAATGAAATGCTTCTTTTAATTAAAAAAATAAATTAAAAAAAAACTATTCCTATTTGCAGATATATGACCTTGGAAATAGAAAATCCAAGAAATACACTAAAATGCTAAGAGAACAATAATGAATTCAGTAAGGTTCCAGAATATGAGATCATTATGCAAAAAGCAATTATATTTCTATTCATTTATAATGAACACCACAAAAGGAAAATTAAGAATCCTAACCAGGCATGGTGGGCACATGCCTTTGATTCCAGCACTCAAGGCTAGCTTGGTTTACACAGTGATTTCTAGGTCAGCTGGGGCTACAGGAAGACTGTCTTAAAAAGACCAAAAAACCCCAAAAAACCCCTAACCCAACCCCTTCCCCCAAAACAAAACCAAATTAGAAATTCTTTTTATGTTAGCATCAAAAGCAATAAAATACTTACTAAACTTAACAAAAATACAAAACATATCTATATATAATTATACTTCATCATGCCTACTAAGATAGTTATAATCACAAAGTCGGATAGTATAAGTTTTAACAGTGATGTTGGGGAAATCCCTCAGACACTGCTGGTATGAATGCAAATGATGCAGTCATTTTGAGAAAGTCTGGAGTGCGCCATCAATTTACACAGAATTATGAAAGTCCCAACAATTTCTCTCTCTCTCTCTCTCTCTCTCTCTCTCTCTCTCTCTCTCTCTCTCTCACACACACACACACACACACACACACACACACACATTATCCAAGAGAAACAAAAACTTGTTCATTTGAAAACTTTTATACCAATATTCACAGTACAACTGTTGACACTTCTCAAAAGATGGAAATAATCCAAATGTCCTTTGACTGGTAAGTATATAAATATGATGTAGTATACAGAATACAATGGAATACTAGTCCATCAAAGGAATGAAATACTGATAGTTAATGAAAGGCATTTAAGAATTTCAGGAAATTGGGGCTAGAGAGATGGCTCAGTGGTTAAGAACACTGGTTGTTCTTGCAGAAGACCCGGGTTTGAATCCAGCATCCACATGGCAGCTAACATCTGTCCGTAACTCTAGTTCCAAGGGATCTGACAGCCTCTTCTGTCCTCCGTGGGCATTGCACAACATGGGTGCACTTACCTACATGCAGGCAATACACACATACACATAAAATAAAAATAATAAAAAATATTTAAAAAGAATTTAAGGAAATTTTAATCCCAGCACTTGGGAGGCAGAGATGGTCGATCTCTGTGATAATAAGGCCAACCTGGTCTACACAGTGAGTTCCAGGCCAACTGGGGCTATAGGGACACCCTGTCTCAAAAACAAGAGCAAACAAATAATTTTAGGAAAATTAAAAAATTAAAATGCTAGAAAGAAATGAAATGTTAACAGATTAGAAGACTAATACATTCTATCAAGAGATCCTAACTTTGTTATGTATTTGAGGAAAAAATACAAATGCAGAATTAATCTAATAGAGCAACACGAAGTATGAACTCTGACAGAACTGAGTGTTGGCAAAGATATGAAGATTCTTAGTATGCCGGATGGCTTCAATTGTCAACTTGACACACCTGGGAAGAGAAAACCTCAATTGGGGATATTCTCTATTGGTCTGGTCTGTGGGCATGTCTGTGAGGCATTTTCTTGGTTGCTGAATGATGTGAGAGGGTCAGCCACTGTGGGTGGTGCCACCCTTAGGCAGGTGTCCCTGAGTTGCATAAGAAAGCAGGCTGAGGATGGATCACAGGTGCAAGTAAATAAACAGCATTCCCCCAAGTTTCTGCTTCAGTTCCTGATGCCAGGTTCCTGCCCCGGCCTCCCTCAGTGAAGGACTGTACTGTAAACTGAGATAAACCCTTTCATAGACAAGCTGGTTTTGGTCATCGCGTTTTTATCACAGCACCAGAAAGCAAACTAGAACACTTAGCATCATTAAAACAGGGAAAAAAAGAATTATAAAAATCAGGAAATTTCAAATCAAAACTGGAATGATCTAACACATTATAATCATTAGACTAGTAGAAACAACAATTTTTAAAGTTAATGTGTTGCCAAAAATATGGAATGATCATGTAACCTGATGCAATTGCATTACAAGAGATCATCATTGGTTTAAGTTGTATACTCTTGGTGTTAAAACATAATCTTCAGAAAAGCTCTAGCACACAAGCCCTGAGACGCTTATATAAAGGCTTAAAATAGCAATGTGGAGTAAGAAGTGGGAGAAGTGCCTAAATTTTCCCAATAGAACAGTGAATAGGGGGTTGGAGAGATGGCTCAGTGGTTAAGAGTATTAGCTGCTCTCGCAGAGGACCCAGGTTCGACTCCCAGCACCCACAGGGTGCCTAATGATCATCTGTAACTCCAATCCCAGGAGATCCAATGCCCTCTTTTGGTATCTGCCGACCAGAACCCACAGATCCTCAATCCAAATCTCACATGAACAGCCGTGATAGTCTCTGCTTCCCTTTCAAGCTTCACTAGGCAGGCCTCCATTGTCTACACCTCTTTCAGCATAACTGTTCCAAGCTCCAGAGCAACAAACTCTGAGCATGCAATGGCTTTTCCAGCCCAAAGTTCCAAACACTTCCACAGTCCTCCCCAAAACACCAAGGTCAGGTCTGTCACAGCAATACCCCCACTCCTGGTACCAATTTCTGTCCTAGTTTGTTCTTCATTGCTGTGACAAAGTACTCTGACCAATACCAACTTAGGGAGGAAAGGGTTTATTCAGCTTACATTTCCCAGGTTGCAGTTCATCAGGGAGCCCAAGGTAGGAACTCAGGGCAGGAACCTGGAGGCAGGAGCTGGAACATAAGCCATGGAGGAATGCTGCTTACTGGCTTGCTCCCCTGGCCCCTGCTCAGCCTGCTTTTTAATGCAACACAGGTCCACCTGCCCAGGGGTGGCATCATCCACAGTGGGCTGGGCCCTCCCACATCACTCATCAAGAAGATGCCCCTCAGACAGGGCCACAGGCCAGTCCCTGAACCCAGGTGTGTCAAGTTGACACTAAAGCTATCCAGCACAAATAGAGTATATACTCACAATGCAGTAATTCTCTATCCAGCTATAAAAATGAATTCTTAGTAGCTATTAACATGGAAGAATTACATGAATATATACCAGGCACAAGAACTAAAAATATGTGCATATGATCCTAGATACATATAATGGAAAATAGGTAAAAACAACCATTTTGGTTAGAGATTTACAATGTATTAGAAAAAATGATCAGAAAATTTAAGACCAGCACAGGAGAATAATATAGGTATCTTACCAAGTCTCTTAGGAAATCCTGTTGAGGGGAATCTCAAAGATGTCATAAGTTGTCCATTACCTGTCTTTTGACCAATAAATTTTACTGTTACTATTGCATATGGAAGACACTGTCTAGGTTTATCTACTGGTCTTGAAAAGACATCATATTCATAGAAGTACACCTGAAAGCCAAAGGACAACAACAAATGTTGTAAAGCCGTGATTCCAAGTTTCCATCAGAATGTCTTAACTGACATTAATTATGAACCTTGAGTACTCAAAGGAGTTAGATATAATGTAACCAAAAAACTGTACTTGTATCTTTGCAGCTCTGCCTCTTGAAGAATGTCTCTCTGTGGTCAAATGTCTTTGAGGCTGCAGATATATGCACTAACAAAGGGTCTGCACCATTTGATATGTCTAATAGCTTCATTATAATATCATTTACATTGTGATTCTGATGCCCCCCCTTCACCTTTGGGATCATGGGAATACCCTAAAAGGGAGATCGACTCCATCATGTTTTGGGAGGGAACAAAGGTGCTACCTTACCCGATGAATATGCCACCTAATCTCAAAAACTTCATAGAACTGTAAAACCCCCAATGTAGAACATTGTGTGCTGCCCCTGCCCCCCTGGGATAGTCCACTCCAATCTCTTTTAGGTGCTTGCTTTGCTTTGTTAAATGAACCTTTCCTTAAATTGTGCCTCTTAATGCTATGTTTTCCTTTAGAAGATAGCCATCACACTATCACTCTCTACTTTGTTAAAGACATAAAGTTCCTTCTGCACCTCCCCTGAGGTCCACATATAAGAAGGCAGAAGCTCACACACTTTTAAAAATAGTGTTTTCATAAAAATGCTTTGTATGTGTTCTGAAACATTCTATTTCAAGTCAGAAAAAATTAAGAAAATAACAAGTATTTTAAAGTTATTACAAAACTTCTACTTTTTACAAGAGCGAATATATATATATATCTGCATTTTCAATAGAAATTTATCTTAATGAAATCTGCTATAGAAAATTAAAGATATACAGAATATTTAAAACATAAAAATAGCTCTTTTACTTAATGGTTAATTTATAAACCTTTTCTCCTTTTCCAAAATAGAAAGTATCAAAATTATTTCAAAATAGCCTTATTTTAACATATTTTTATTTGTAAGCAATAACTGCACATATCTATAGGGTTTAGTACGTTGTTGTATGCATGTGTATTCACAAGTTTGTGGAACATGTACATATGGAGGCCAGAGGTCAACCTTGGGTGTTATTCTTCAGGTTCTGGCCATTTTTTCTGGAGGTCTGTCAGTGGTGTAGAACCCATCAAGCAGGCTAGGTTGGCTGACCAGTGAGGCTCAAGGATCTTTCTGTCTTTGCCTCCCCAGCTCTAGGATTACAGGCATACACCACTACATGTTTCATTTTTTCATAGGTTCTGGGGATTATTAATTCAGGTCCCTTTGCTCACAAAGCAAGTACTTTATCAACTAAGCTATCTCCCCACCCCTTTAAATGTGAGACATATATCTATTATCTAGATCTATATAATATATATATATATGGATATGGTGCTTAAAATTTACTCTTAGCAACTGTGAAATATAAATGATTATAGTTATGCTTCTGTGAAGACTTGTTTGAAAGAGAACTTGACTTTCAAGTTAGGAATCAGTTTATAGTATCTAAATAGTTTCTGTACTAAGCATGTGATCTTCAAGTCAACAAATCAACCCTGAAGTAACATACCACTGGGACTGGAGAGATAGCTCAGTGGTTAAGAGCACTGATTGCTCTTCCAGAGGACCTGGGTTCAATTCCCAGCACCCACACAGTGGTTAACTACTGTCTGTAACTCAAGTTCCAGGGGATCTGGTAACTTCTGACCTCCATGGGGACTGCACGACATGGGTGCACTTACATACATGCAGGCAATATATACACATAAAAATAAATTTTTTGAAAAAAAGTAACATACCACTGAATTGTAGGCTTGTAGTTCAATGGTATCTTTCAGAGAAGGTGTACTTCTTGACATATGGCAGTCAAAGTTAGGAGAAGGATCCAAAGAAACTTTGCTTTTATCCATAGAAGGTTGAACTTTCTTCACTTTTCCAAAGAGAACCTAAACAAAAAAAAACACACCCAAACACCTTTAAACCTTCATGCTTTTAACAGTGAAGTATTGTTAAAACTGTTAATTCATGCTCCAGATAAATGTGATGATTTAACATAGTCATTATACCAATCACCTACCAAATCAAATGCTGAGATCTGAGTAATTCTAATAAAAATTTCAGAAAATCTATGTTAAAAAGTGAGTTTACTGTAAAAATTTTTATGAAAGGCTACAGAGAACTTTGGGTTAGAAACAGAGAATGGTGGAATGGGCCATGTGATTTATAATTTTAGATGTTAAAACACTTTTAATATAAGAGAAAAAGTAGAGGAATAATAAAAGGGTTCAGAAGGAACTCTGTGTATGTATTAAATATATAGTAATATTTTTTGAGATGATTTCAACTATAAAGCTTTGCCTAGCCTGAAACATGCTATGCAGACTAAGCTGGCCTTGAACTTGTGATAACCTTCTTGTCTCTGCTTCCCAAATGCTGGGATGATAGGCGTGTGTCACCAGGCCCAGTATAAGGTATGTTATTAAAGCTACAATTTAAATAAAGCAAAGCAGATTATCCAATAAATGATAGAGTAAAAATGAAAAAAATTACAATTTCTTAAAATTTATAAACCAAAATAAGTACTACACAAGTTAAATATTTAAGTATTGAAAACATAGTGAAAATATTGAAAAACGTAAGTACTCATGTTTCTAAAATCAAAGTCTTTTTGAATAATATGGCCAAGAACTGATGAATTAGTACCATACAAATATCACTATGTAATGGTTTAAAACTGGGGCTGGGGAGATGGCTCAGTGGTTAAGAATACTCCATGCTCTTGCAGAGGACCTGGGTTTGGGTCTCAGGCCCCAAATGATAGCTTTGAAACCCTCTGCTGGCTTCTGTGGGCAGTGCACACATCAGGTACGTATACATACAAGCAAAACACTTACACACATAAAATTAAAATAAACCTTAAAAAAGCAAGTATATAATCCAAACCATGAACATAAGTAACAAAAGGCAGGCTGCAAGTACAAAGAATATCACAGCAGGTACACCTTTCATGTAAACTCTGTAATTACATTACTGTTTTTTTTTTTTTGAGACAGGGTCTCCTTGTAGTCCCAGCTGTCCTGGAACTCACTATGTAGATCAGGCTGGCCTCGAACTCATAGAGATCCACCTGCCTCTGCCTCCTGAGTGCTGGGATTTACATTACTGTTTTTTAAAAAAATATTTTATTTGTTATTTTTATTTATGTGTATGTGTGTATTGCCTGCATGTAGGTAAGTGCACTCGTGTCATGCAATGCCCACGGAGGACAGAAGACACTGTTGGATCCCCTGGAACTGGAGTTATAGACAGTTGTTAGCTGCCACGTGGGTGCTGGGATTCGAACCTGGGTTTTCTGCAAGAACAGTCAGTGTTCTTAACTGCTGTGCTCTCTCTCCAGCCCCACATTACTGTTTTTTAAAAAAATAAAAACCACTTTATTGTGATGAACTCACAAGTAGAAACATTACACAGGTAGAATAAAGTAGTCTCTCAAACAAGTACTTGCCCAGTCTGAAATTTTATACATCTCAATCAACTTCTATCCAATTAGAATGGCCATTCTGAGCCACAGAGTTTCACTTAGCTTTATACTTTCTCTATCTCAAACCTCCCCCACCCAAACCCCAACAACAAACAAATCCAACAAACAAAAAATCCCAACAACTATGACAGAGTTGAAACTAGAAAAACAATTAGTTATATATTCTCTTTCATAACCCATGTCATGAAAAGACGTTTTTGTACTTCCTCATTACCTGATGTTATCCTCTTGTGGTCTTCTTTCTAAATGTTATACTTTGTCCACACTTACAGCTATTTACATATATACAAGTATAAATTACAGGCTAGGGTCCACATATGAGGGAGAACATGTTTTTTTCCCCCTGAGTTTAAGTGTTCTTATTGAAACATTGTGTTGTTTTAAATAGGCTACTATATTCACTCAAAAATACTTAATGAAATATGGATCTTAGATTGGACCCTGGAATATAAAGAAACATGTAAAAAACCCAGCAGAAGTGATTAGAGTCTATGGTTAGTGTTATACTATTTTTAGCTCTCAGTTTTGATAAATGTGACATAATTACATAAAATGTTTACCAATGGTATCAGAGAACTCTGGATAAATTGTACACAGGAACTCTCTGTTCTGTCTGTAACCTTTCCATAAACTGAAAATTATTCCAAAATAAAGGTTTATTTAAAATCATGAATGTTAAAAAAACTAGACTATGAAGTTATGCTTGACTCAAGTCAATATTGTCTGTAAGTCAAAAAAATAAAAGGGAAAAAATGGGAAATGGCAGGGCTTAATAAAAGCAATTAACAGTACATAAACAGTCAACATACAACACAAAGTTCAAACTCAAGAATAACCACATAATGATAAAAAAGAATGATAATTAGCCGGGCGTGGTGGTGCACACCTTTAATCCCAGCACATGGTGGGCAGAGGCAGGCGGATCTCTGTGAGTTCAAGGCCAGTGTCTACATAGTGAGTTCCAGGACAGCTGGGGCTACAGGGAAACCCTGTCTCAAAAAGACAAAAACAAAAACAAAAACAAAAAACAAAAAACAAAAAACAAAACAAGAAACCCAAAAAGAATGATAATTTATTAGGCTGGCAAAATTTTTTTAAAGGTCTACCACACAGGTTTACTGAGGGTGTGAGAAAACAAGTATGTGCACATGTTGTGGATGAAAAAAAACTAGTGGTACTACCTTTCTCAAGACAACTGGGCATTGCACAGCAAAAACTGTAAAAGTGTATGTGTCTTTGACTCAAATTAGGAATAAGGTAATTCTTAGCAAACAAGTGTCAAGGTGTAGACCATTCCATTTTCTTAAGGTAAAGACATCCTACCTACTATTTTGAGATTAAGTCTTATAAGATCCAGCACCAGTGTCTTACCAAACTGTGTAAGCGGGCCAGCTGACAAGTTACATAGCTCATAATTCAGCTAGACTGGCTGGCCATTGAGCCCTAGGTATCCTCTTGTTACACTGCATCTTTCCAGTGCTCAGACTATGGATGTATACTGCTGCACCTGGTTTTTACATGGGTGCTGGGGATCCAAACTCAGTTCTTCATGTTTTTGTGGCAAGCACTATAATAACTGGGCCATTTCCTCAGGCCTAAATGCAGGACCTTGAAGAAATATTTGTACACTTGTGGTTATAGAGCCACTAATCTATAATAATTAAAATGAATGAAAATTCCAAATATGGAATTTTAAGGAGGAAACTTTAAGGAGGAAAATCTGACAAGAAGGATGAATACTGAGCACATGGTAAGTGATGTAAGTCACCTACAAAAAGATAAGACATTGTGACTCCACTCATATGAGGTACTCAGAATCATCAAACTCTAAGGTTGGTTTTCAATTTCTGGAGTGAGAAGGAATGATACTTGTTCAATGTATATAGAATTTCAGTCTGAAAGATAAAGTTACTGTTCTTTATCTGGAGAAAAAGGATGATGGTGATGACCATACAATAGTATGAATGTACTTGAAACTACTGTATTCATGAATTTAAGACGTCCTTGACATCATGTACAATGGAAACAACAACAAAATGTCATGAAAGTCTAATGAGAAAAGACTGCTTAGCAGACTGCAAATATCATATAGGAGAGCCAAGAAAAACCAGCAGTGGTCACCCGGCCAACTCAGAGAACGGTGGTAGTTAAGACTCACTGCTGGTTTAAACAGGACATATTTTAATAAAATCATTTATTTAATCATTTAATTAAAACTGCTAAGAGTAAATTCTGTTGTATTTTACTAAAATAAAAAAGGTGGAAGAATACTCAAGTATTAGTATACAGCACATTTTCTAAATATTGGAGAACTAGAAAGGTTCATGGTGTGGTGTGTGTGTGTTGGGGGTTGGGGGTGGTTGTTGCTGAGGACTTAACCACCCAGGGCCCTCATATAAGTCAGGAAAATGCTCTATCACTGAATCCCAACCTAACCCCAAAGTTTACCACTGAAAACAACTGAGTGCATGGCTAATATTTTCTTTTCTATTTTCCTTTCTTTTTCCTGTGTTGGGGCTCCAATCCAGGACTTCATGCACATGCTTTACCACTGAGTATCACTGAATACACCCCCTGGCCTCTTCCTGGTCTTGTCTTTTCGTGTGTGTGTGTGTGTGTGTGTGTGTTGTGTTGTGTGCTGTGTAGGGGGTTGTGCACTTACTTTGTGCCATGTGCAGAGACCAAAGGAGAACTTAAGAAAGTTTCTCACTGAAGCTAGAGCTAGGGTGGTGAGCAGCCAGTCCTAGCAATTCTCCCATTTTTGTGCCCCCTACACAGCACTGGGATTACAGGTATGTATGCAGGCACATCCAGCTTTTCATGTGGGTGCCTTTGTGGGGATTTGAAATCAAGTTCTCATACTTGTATAGCAAGAGCTCTTACCCACTGAACAATCTCCCCAGCCACAGTCTTTTCTTTATTAATTTTGAAACATCTTGATAACTACAAATTGTGTGTGTGTGTGTGTGTGTGTGTGTGTGTGTGTGTGTTGGTTTTCTGAGAAAGGGTTTTGGTATATACATGTGACCCTGAACTCTCTTCATAGCCCAGGTGGGTCTTGAACAAAGATCCTCCTGCCCCAGCCTCCCAAGTGCTAGGATTATAGGTATGTACTATCATGCTTGGCACAAATAACAGTTTAAATCTTAACGTTTCAAAAACATTTAACATAATTGTAGAAGGATTACTACATGTCTTTAAAAATGCTTTGGAGGGGTGGGAGAGATGGTTCAGCAGTTAAAGAGTACTGGCTGTTCATGCAGAGGACCCGGGTTCAGTTCCTAGCACTCTCATGGTGGCGCACAATTGTAATCCAGCTTCACGGCTCTTCTGGCCTCTGTGGGTATCAGGTATGCATGTGGTTTACCAACACACATGCTGGCAAAATACTTATACATACAAAATAAAAATAAATAAACCAAGCCAGGTGTGATGGTGTACACCTTTAATCCCAGCACTGAAGACAGAGGCAGGCAGATCGCTGTGAGTTCAAGGCCAGCCTGGTTTACATAGTGAGTTCCAGGCCAGCTGGGGCTATAGGGAGATCCTGTCTCAAAACAACCAAAAAAAAAATCTTCAAAAAAATGATCTGTAAATCTAATGACAATGGATATGTCAAATTCCAGAGAAAGGATATAAAATAACTTTATCATGCACTAAGGTGGGGGTATCTTCGTGGTGGCTACTGTTTTACTCTAAGCAATACTTACACTCATGCATGTGTGCTCACATGTTTAGAGGTCTTGATCTACCCTCTGCCCAGTTTTCCCTAAAGTAACAACATAACCACAATACATTTGAAAAAATAAAAACTGATGTTTTTCATGATGCTATTAACTAAAATAAATAAGCTTAGCTTCTGCTACAATTGCTATATTTTAGAGGACAGAAACTGCTATGGTATTAATTATAGTATGAACAGAAAGATAAAACAGGTTAATGAATCCAGAAAAAAGTCAGTATTAGGAAGACAAAGATGATGAAGGCTGCCTTTGCTTATTTGAAATTTTACTTTGTGTTGCAGTTTCAGGTTGAGTTAGGAATAGGGGAACATTTAAAATGATGACAAAAGTAACTAGTTAAAAATAATTAAAATTAATTATTAAATTAATAATCTAATTAAAAATTATTTGAAATATTAATAACACTGGCTGGGCGTGGTGGTGCATACCTTTAATCCCAGCACTCGGGAGGTAAAGGCAGGTGGATCTCTGTGAGTTCAAGGCCAGCCTGGTCTACACAGTGAGTTCTAGGATAGCGGGGGTACAGGGAGACCCTGTCTCAAAAAGAGACCAAAAAATATTAATAACACTGAAAGCAAAATGTGTTCATGCCAACTTAAAGCAAATTGCCTACATATTTAATATTTGTTTTATGCTACTACATACCTTAAAAATCACAATAGTTTCCACTGTAATGCTTCGACTATGAGCATAATTCAAAGCAACATCAACATGTCTAAACATATAAATTCCAAGAAGAGGATTTCCTAATATCTTCAATGCGGATGCTTTGGTACTTAACCCATTCCTGTAAATCTCCACCACATCACTCTGAGGAAGTGCTAAAAAGCAGAAATTTTCTTCAAGTTCTCTGCCATGTCTTCCACTCTCACGCATCTCTGATCTAAGTAAAAAAAACCAATATATTTGGTTAAATGACAACTTTCAAGATGATAAACATTTCAGCTTATTACAGAAAGCAAGGAAATACTGAGAACATTAATTAGATTTAAGTTAGAGACTGAAAATTACCTAAAGATCAAATTCAAGATTACACATTCAAGGTTTATTGATAGCCTAAGCAGACTGGTAAGAACCCACATTTCTTGAATACTGCATATAGCCAGTACAACATCTGAAGCTGTACATGTATTTTTTCACATCTATTTTTTGTTGTTATTGAACACATTTTTAAAAATGGGGTTCAAAATGCAGAGCTACCCTCAAGTTTTAGCCAAAGTAACAGTGACACTGTTGGAATCATACGGGTATATCTCATTTTACTGGGCATTATAGATTTTTTAAAATAGAAAGTTTATGCAACCTAGTATTAACCAAGTTTATCACTGTTTTTTTTTAACCAACAGTACATACTTATTGTATCTCTGTCACAGTCTTATAATTCACTCAATATTATAAACTTTAAAGTTATATTGGCTATGATGAGCTATGATTAATGACCTAATTCTAATTGTTTTGGAATGCCATGAACCACAGCCCACAAGATGGTGAAATTAATATATACTATGCTCTGAACAGTCTGCAGGTGGCCTTTCTTCTATTGCTCCCTTTCTTTGGGCCTCCATATTCCCTGGGACAGAATAATAATGAAATTAGGCCAGTTAGTAACCTTACAACGGCCTGCAAGTGTTGAAGTGAAAGGGAGAATCATACACCTCCCACTTTAGATAAAAAGCTTGAAATACCAACTTTAGCAGGGAATGAATGCTGAGGGCTTAAACTTACTGAAAGCTAGGCCAGCCTCTTGTATCAAACACCTAAGTTGTGAACACACACAAAAATGGTCTTAAGAAAATCAGAGCTGTCAATCCAGTGAACACTTATAGTACTTTGAAGTGAGACACTGATCTCTCTGGTTACAAAAGTTCTAGATCATGGGGCTTGAGAGATGGCTCAGAGGTTAAGAGCACTGGCTGCTCTTATACAGTAAAACAGTCTTGATTTAAAAAAAAATAGTTTGGATAGATCAACAGGCTCAACATTCTATTAAGGCCAAAGCCTAACTGAGAACAAGACTTGCTTCCACAGCTTCCTTATCTTTCAGTCTTTGCAGAACTGTAGTGGAAGAAATCTTGGAGCTGGCATAGGCTGGGTCATGAGGATTAAGGGAAGAAGTCTTCATAGCATTTAAGTGAAAGGTGAAGCACTGAGCACTGATATAGGAGTGCCAGCAAGTTGTCCAGAAGATCCAGCTAAAGTGACTGATGAAGGTGGGTACATCAAGCAGTGGATGTTCATCAGCCTTCTATTCAAAGGCGTGATAAAGAACTTTCTTTTAAAATATTTTATTTTTATTTTATGAGTGTACTGCCTACATGTATGTAAGTTCACCATGTTGGGTAATACCTGCAGAGGTTGGAGGTCAGAAGAGGGAATCAGATTCCCTGGACCTGAAGCTGTTAGCTGTCACGTGGTAGTTAGCTGCCATGTGGGAGCTGGGAATAGAACCTGCGTCCTCTGCAAGAGTAGCCAGTGCTCTTAATTGCTGAGCCATCTCTCCAGCTCCGTGATCTAAAACTTTCACAGTCCAAAGAGATCAATATCTGACTTCAAAGGATGGTCTGATTCTCTTGTTAGTGGCTAATGTAATGTAATTGAAGCCAATACTCATTTATCACCATTCTGAAAATCCAAGAGCCCTTAAGAATTACACTAAATTTACTCCCACCATGCTCTGAAAATGGGTTAACAAAGCCTTGGCAACAACACATACACTTACAGCATGGTTAATTAAATACTTTAAGTTTACTGCTAAGATGAGTGGAAATTTTTTTCAGTTATTACTGCTTATTGACAATGCATCTGATGATACAAGAGCTCTGATGGAGGTGTACAATAAACTAATGTTTTTATCCCTTTATATGGCAAGTCTTAGATAATTTTTCCTCTTATGGAGTTGAGGAAAGTAAACTGAAAACCTGGAAAAAGTTCATTATTCTAGGACCTATTAAGAACTATGTACAGGGTCTTTTGGTCTAGGACTGTAATTCCATGTACACAGAAGGCTGAGGCTGTGAGGATGTCCAGTTGAGCTATAGAAGTAATGAAAGACCAGGATGAATTACTTTGTGAGACCTTGCCTCAACACAAAAAGTACAAAAAAGGGAACATTTGCAGTTCATGGAAGGAGGTCAAAATGTCAACATCAACAAGAGTTTAGAAGAAGGTAACTTTCAGAAGTTCAAGGTGGCAGTGGAGGGAACTGCAGGTGAGGTGTAATTACAAGAGAAGCAGAAAGAGAATGCAGAGAAGATGGGGACTGCTGCAGTCTCAAAATAAAACTTTTATGCTGATTACTTTTTCTGAGGCAGAGTCTCACTATACAGCCCAGGTTCGCTTCAAGTCTGTGATTCTGCTGCTGCCTCCCAAATGCCTGGATCACAGCAATGGTGCTGTGCTCAGTAAGTACGTACTTCTTAGTGATAAGAAATGAAAGTGTTTCCCTGAGATGGAAACTATTCCTGGTGAAAATGCTGCAACACTGCTGACATAACAGGAGAAATGACACTATTACACAAAAATTTAACTAATAAACAGTGCAGAGTGTGAGAGAATTAACTCATTTTCAAGGAAGTTTTACTGTATAAAATGCTCCCAAACTGCACTGCATACTACAGAGAAATCTTTCATAAAAGAATCAATGTGGCCAATTTCACTGATGTCTTAGTTTAAGAAATTGCCATAGTCACTCTAATCTTCAGTAACTAGTCAAGATCAGTCAGCTGCCACCAACACAGAGGTAAGACCTTCTACCAGAAAAAAAAAGACTTAAAAAATGACTCATCGAAGGGTCAGATGATTAACCTGTTTTAGCAATAATGTATTTTTGACTTAAGGTATACACTTTTTAAAAGACATAATATCACAAATTTAAGAGATTATAGGACACAAGAAACATACATATGCCCTGGGAAATTAGAAATACTCATGTTTGCTTTATTTGGGATGATCTGGAGTGAAGCTCTAACACCTCTTTAAATGAGCCTGCAGTCTTATTCTGTGTCTTAAATTCTACAATTGAAGTTCTTGCTAACTGTGTTATGTAGGGAATGTCTATTCCCTAAGTGAAATAACTCTGTGACTATATGTCAGCACATCCATCCATCCATCCATCCATCCATCCATCCATCCATCCATCCATGAATGAGTGATATTCTCACACAGTTACTTATGAGAGTCATTCTAGAAAAACTGTCTGGTTACAGATGTCTATCTTAACAAGACAATTGCAAATAATCCTCAGAAAAGATTATAATCTAAAGTATTCATTTTACTACTTTAGTAACAGGATCCACTTAAGTATATTAAAGTACATGTCTCCCCAAATTGGAAAGTACAAGGGTTCTACATGGCAGCACCAACTGTCATACTAGGTGGTACAACAGAGGTGCAAACAGTAGGACAAAACTGATTCCAAATGACTCATGATGGAGAACCGACAGAACATGCCAAAAGTATGTATATACTACAAAAGGAAAATTATTTTTGGTTATAGGGTAAACAGTAATTGATAAGTATAGCTTTAAATTTAATTGGTGACAAAAGGACACATAAACTGTTTAGCTACTTAGTGTCCCTAGAGGAGAAAATGAAACCATTCTATTATATACGTGTGCTGGACAGCGTTAGTGTCAACTTGACACACCTGGGTTGAGCAAGCCTCAATTAGGGAATTACCTCTATTGGAGTGGCCTGAGGCCATGTCTATGGAGTATTTTTTTTGATTGTTGAGTGATGTGGGAGGGCCCAGTCCACTGTAGGCAGCGCCACCCCTGGGCAGGTTGTTCTGTATTGTGTAAGAAAGCAGGCTGAACATGGACCAGGGGAACAAGTCAGTAAGCAGAGTTCCTCTACGGCCTGTGCTCAAGCTCCTGCCTCCAGATTCCTGTCCTGAGTTCCTACCTTGGGGTCCCTGATGAACTGTAATCCTGGAGATCTAAGCCAAGTAAGCCCCTTTCTCCTCAAGTTGGTATTGGTCAGAGTGTTTTGTCACAGCAATGGAAAAACAAACTACAAAAAATACTGTTTTTTAGAAAATGAAGAAAATGGGGCTGGAGAGATGGTTCAGTGGTTAAAAGAACTGGCTGTTCTTGCAGAAGACCTGGGTTCAAATCCCAGCACCCACATGGCAGCTAACAATCATCTGTTAACTCCAATTCCAGGGGACCTAATGCCCTTTTCTGTCCTCCATGGGCATTGCAGGACACAGGTGAACTTACACACATGCAGGCATAACTCTTATATACATAAAAATAAATAAAAATTTTAAAAGAAAATGAAGAAAACAAGGTTCTTTGACAAGCTTGGAAGAGAACTTAATAGTTTTCAAATAGTTAATCATACAGTTATTAAACACATAATATTTGGCTAGCTCAAAGTGGAATACAATAATTCTGCCTTAAACCTTAGGGAATACGTTCCATGAAATCTCAGTGGATATCTAAAAAGAGAGAACTGAAAATTCCACTTTTTCTTTTTCCACTGCATGCACGTATGTGTGCTTTTGCGTGTATATATGCATGTTTGCATGTGTGTGGGCATACAAGTGTGTATTGGTACTTGTATATATATGTGCATGCATGTGAAGGCCCTTGGTGAATGTTGGGAATCATCCTCAATCACTCTTATCTTGTTCATTTTGTCAGAGTCTCTCAATAAAACCCAGAACTCAATGATATAGCTAGTTTTGCCAGACAACTTGCTCTGGGAATCCCCTTGTTTCTGCCCTCTGAGGTTGGAATTACAGATGGGCCACTGTGTCCACCTGACATTTCTGTGGATTTCTGGGGGTCAGAACTCCGGTCCTCATGCTTGCACTGCAAGTGATTTAATCACTAAGCAATCTTCCTAGCACTCAACTCCATAATTTAATACTCTATCTTAACTAGCAACTTATCAGTGCATGCTGGCTATCATGTTTATAATTTGAGATATGACAACAACAACTATTTTTCCTTGTTTAAAATTCATGGCCAGAAGATGCATTATACTGTAGATCCTGGCAATCTCAGTTTTTCCCCTTAGTTTCACCTTTTAGAAACACTTTATGGCTTCTCTTTGGAATATCTGAATTACTGACATACCATATAGGCTTTGGGGAAGAGTACTGTGATACTGAAGCAGTTATTTGATATCTGACACAGCCACAAATTGATAATGGGTGGTTACTGTGTAAACTGTGACTACAAGGGACAAAAGTATTCATGTGCTGGGCAGGATGGAGCAGTGTGATGAGATTTCATCAAGATACAGCAGTGTGCAATTTAAAATTACGAGTTACTTAACTTTGGAATTTTGCATCCAATAGTTTTGAACTGTGGTAGTTGTGGGAAAAAAAACCACAAACAAGGAGACACATGAAATATAGTAAGCAGAAAGAGGATTCAATAAAGTTTAAGGAAAACAAAGTTGCTGACTCATGTAAGATAAAGTCATATTTTTGTTTGTATTGTTGCTGTAACAAACTGCCACAAACATGGTGGGTTAAAAAGCATAAATTTATCCTACAGTTATGTAGATAATAAATCCAACATAGGTTGCATTGGGCTAAAATCCTATTATCTGGTCTATGTTTCTTTCTGAGGGTCTAGGGGAGGATCCCCTGTGCCTATTGGTAGGATTCAGTAAAACCAGTAGGCTTGAGATTGTTTCCTTACTAGCTGTTTCAAGCTTTTTGCAATTACCTACATTTCTTGGCTTATAATCTTCATCTTCAAAGCCAACAAAAGCAGGCTTAGTCCCCCTCAAAACGCCAGTCTTTCCCATCCTTTATCACTTCTCTCTGATCTACTTTCTGATAATCTTCCCTTTTTTTAAGAATGATGTGATTAAACCAGATCAACCCAGATGACCCAAGATACCCACCCATACAGTTCAAGGTCTGCAACTTTAATTATACCAGCAAATCCTTTTTGCCATGTAGCCTGACTCACAGGTACTGGAGTCTTTGGGGGGGGGAATATGAGTATTATATACTTTTTACCATACAGAGATTCCAAACTTAAGTCCTTAATGGTAGTAGAAACTCCCTTTTCCTATTTACTTTATCTTTACCATGTCAGGCAGCACTTATGGTCATCAGAGGGCTGCTATGTAGGTCAGTAACAACAAAGCCTACATGCTTCCTTGTTACAACCACTGAGAACATTCTTCACTTTCCCAGGACTTTAAAACAGATCTCATACTGCACTCTCCACTGAACTATCCTGACTAAATTTGTACAATAATAAAATAATAAGGTGAGGATAATAAGACAAAGAATGGTTTAGACTATGTAAGATCTAGGATTGTTAAAAGACTGTAAATTACTACAGTCTATAAATACCCTTCTTCTAACATATCTACTTTCAAATGGTTATACCACACAAAGTACTTTTTCACACAGAGAACCACCCCAAATTCCATCTAATTCATACATTTAACTATCCATACATGAAGTGTGTTCATATACCTTTATTTCTAACAGATATAAATATATATAGCCATAGAATCAACACCTATTTAAACAACGTATGGCTAAAGGTTAAATTATCTGCACTCAAAATACAGCTGTGGAAAAATTACCAGAGAATGACATTTAAAATGTTTAAAAGTGACCTATCTTAGCCTCTCCCCTATGTCCTGGGAAGCTAGACAGATCACAGGGCATAGGGAAGAACCTAGTAGTAGTTTTCTATTAAATAGTTATTGTATTAAATTGACTCTTAATGACTTATTGTCATACCCATAGATTAATGCTATCTCACAATTCAACAGAGAAGTTTCCTTATGTAACAGATGATGATTAACACAGAAACCCACAACTGGCCAACATGCAGAGACCAAGATGCTATAGAGTGTTTATTCCTAAATAGGACACCTGTACCAAACTTCTGTCTCCCAAGGCTCAGGGATCATCACAGAAGAAGGGATGAAAAATTTTAAGAGCCTGAGGTGGTAGATGACCAAAGGAAGCAGAATTTTCCAGACAGCTGGTCATTTACTCATATAAACTCATAGCAAAGCAACAGTGACAGCATGCAGAAGTCCAATGTAAGCTCAAACAAGAAAAAAATTCCAGCCTAGACATGAGGTAAGAAGCTCTAACATAAGAAACTGTGGCAACCAATGAATGCTGGGAGGGGCAAAGACAGTCTCTTTTAAGCATGGGATTCTTGGTAGGTTAATCAGGCTCCAGTGGTTGGACCCACTCTGAAGGACATTTGGAGACACAAATTAGACCCTACAGGCCTCTGTGTGTGTGTGTGTGTGTGTGTGTGTACACAGAATACATTAAATTGGGCAGGGGCAATAAGAAAAGGTGTGAATAAGGGGGAGGACTTAAATACCATCCAAGTATATTGTATGAAAATTGCAAAAATTCAATAAAAAACAAAAATAAATAGAATACTTTTAAATGAATAAGAAGTGTTTAGAAGTAGGTCTGGAGAGGTGGTGGCTTAGTGGTTAAGAGCACTGGCTGCTCTTGAGAAGACCCAGGTTTGGTTCTCAGCACCTTCATGGTGGCTAACAACCATCCTTTAACTCCAGTTCCAGGGCATCTGATGCCATCTTCTGGCCACTGTGGGCAATCCTGGGTGCACTTACATACCCACAGTAGATAAATCAATTAATTAAGAAAAAATGTTTAAAAGTGAAGAATGACACTGCAATGATTAGTGTCAACTGGCACTCAATGCAAAGCATATCCGTCTATAAAATTAGGTCACATTCCTTGCCCTCAAAGGTCCAAAGGCTGGTAACCATAGCAGGAGAACCTAGACAGACAATGGTTGAGATTAAGAATTTTTGTTTCCTGGTAACAAGACTCAGACTTCATTATATAAATTTGAATTCACAATGACTTTTACTTGGATTTTAATTTGGAGCTGTATGTTTCTTCCACTCTTGCATTTAAAAACCATTTCCCAACCACTGTGTGTGCCACTTGTGTGTACATGTGCTTGTAGAAACCAGAGATTGATGTTGGGTGTCTTCCTGAACTTCTCTCCACCTTAGTTTTTGGAGACAGGGTCTTCCAATGAAACTGGAACTCACTAATTCAGCTTGACTGGCTGGTCAGAAAGCTCAGGGGATTCTCCTTGTCTGTGTTTCTCTAGTGACAGAATTACAGGTATGCTGCCATGCTTGGGCTTTTATGTGGATTCTGGGGGTCTGAGCTCAGATTTTCATACTTGTGAGCAAGCACATTACCAAATGAGCCATCTCCTCAGCACCATTTAAGATATTTGTCATATAATTTGAGTACTTATAATTACCAGGGAGAAAATATTTAAAGAGTTATTTAGGGAATATCAAAGGTAACGAACCTGTGCTTTGCCATGTATTTCCTGTTAAGCTGTTCTTTTAAAACTTGTATTAATAAACTTTGGAAAAGATGAATTTGCTAAGTTAAACTTGCAAAACTGAACTGTGCAAATGATGTCATAACCAGAAAAGATCATTTTTACCAAATGTGAATTTTCTAGGATTTAAAATTTTTTTTTCTTTCATTGAAGAAGGAAATAGTTATGGCACTCTAAACACATTGAAATTTTTGTGTACTTTCTCCAAAAAAAACTACAGCCTCATGAAATATATGTACTGTGCCAAGATAATCACTAAGTTCCCATCTGAGAACAGTGCATGTGGGGTGTCTTTCCCCTGAACTATATATAATCCTTTCCCCGAGCTATATTTGTATTTTGGAATAACTTATCAACAGGTATTCCTTTCCCAGTACCACATTTCCAGGTGACATACTGACAACAAGTATAGACCATTTAAACTACCTTCAAAATAACTTTTCATAAGCTCAGGTATCAGGCTTATTATGTAACTCCAGATTATCACCAGGGATCCTATATCCATGCACATATGGGCAGCACTAACTGCACTAGTGGGTGATAAAAAGAAAAACAAGGTGGGGCATGAAGTTGGGAGGGGGATGTGGTGGCAGGAATCTGGAAGGAGTTGAAGAGGGGGAATGGGAAGTGGGTATGATCAAAATTCATGCATGAAATTCTCAAACAATAAAAAAATCTTTTTTTTTTAAAGGTAGGGCCAGCAAGAAGGTTTGCTGAGTAAAGGCACTTGCTGCTGAACCTGACAGCCTGAGCTTGATCCCTGGAACTCATACAGTGCACAAAAACTGAAACAAAAAAATTAAAAAATAAGGTGGCGGAGTGGCAGAGTAAGGTACCTGAAAGTCTATCTCTGGCCGTTTTACACTTACACACACACACACACACACACACACAAAGAGGGAAAAGGACCCACACATACACACACACACACACACAACACCATCAGAAGAAGGTATATGAAATCTGATTATATTAGTGTATGAAACACATCTCACTTAAAATTTTCAGTATAAGAGATTATGAGAAGGTAATAATATGTAATGATTTCCTTAGTAATTATTTGTGTGTGTGATGTATGTGTGTTCATGTGTATATGTGCAAATACCTAAGGTTGATGAGGGGAACATCCTCAATTGCTCTCCACCTTGTTTTTAGTAATAATCTCTCTCAATTAACCTGGACCATATCCATTTGGTTAGGCTGGCCATCAATGAGCTCTAGAAATACACCTGCGTCTACCCCTACCATACCTCTAGCTTCTGTTACATACTTCATTCTCTGCCACACCTTTTTATTTGGGTGCCGGGCATCAAACTCAAGTCCCCGTGATTACACAGCAGGCATTTGACAAGCAGTCCTTCCTTAGTAATTATTATTAAATCAGGTGTGTGGTTTCTTAGCAATACTTATTATGTCTCTAATGACAGAAATAAGTAAGCATGACTTCCTGGTAAAATCAAAGGAAACATAATCTCAAACTTATCTGAGCCATATGAACTTACCTCTTAGCAGTAAAATTTTTCTCCAGATCCTCATTATGAATAAGTTTTGAATCCCCAAACTGCCATGTGAATTGCAGATCACACCTTAAATCAAGCCTGCACTGCCTTAGAGTGCCATGTATGAAACTGTACTCTCTAGTATTGGTCCAACAAGGAGACAAATAAACTAAAGGTAAAGAAATGAGAAAATAGTTACTTGTGTTTAAAATGACACTGTACAATGATAACTACATACCTGACATAAAACAGTGAAATGTTTGGCAATTTCATTAACAACTGAAGGCAACAATTTACATTTATGGTACCACAGTTGAGGTAAATGAAAACATTAGCCTTGTTTTTTTCCCATACACAGATGTATAGTTCTACAATTTAGGTTACTAATTTTCAATGTAAGTCATATAATGACTCCACAATGTGCATAATTACACAAGCCTAGTAGCTTCTGTAGCACTTCTTGGTCTTTCCCAAGCAAAGACAGGCATACACACATATAGCTGATTATTATAATATACGGTAGCTATATTCCATAAGCATCACAAACACTGAATTAGTATTATTCTATCATTCTTAGGGGAAAGTACTAGGTTCCTTTAAGAATCTAGTTGAGTTTCCGACAGTCTAAATGTCATTAGTATTACAATCTATTGTCAACATCCTTGTAAAACACATCAGTTTAAGCAGTGTTAAAGTTCCACATATTCCCTTTCCTGATGAAACATTTGGAAGGTATTTAAAACTTTCTCCCTCGATATTTTAGAAGGTTGAAGCAGGAGTATTGCTGAAGCTTAGTAGTTCCAAGGCCAGATGGTGCAACTTAGCAAGATCCTGCATCAAACAAAGGAGGTGAAGCGAACATTGTTTAGTCAGTTTTATTAAGTAATTCATCTTATATATTGCTGAGTTAAATTTGCTTATACTTGTTAGGATTTCAATTACTGTAATAGTAGTTCATGATTATATACATACATGTGAGTATGCATGCATGTATGTTTGATTTGGGAACCAATAAATTATTCCATTCATTTTTATTTTTTGGAAGAAAACTGTACAGAATTTGTATTCATCTTTAAATGTTTAAAAATCTTCAATGATATCTGGGGCCTGGAGGTATCCAACAGCTGAGTTAAATTTAATATATAATAGTTATAAGGCTACTTAAAATAATCTTTTTATTATTGTGTTTTGTACCTATCAACAAGCTGATCAATTTCCTCCAAGTTGTGATTATGTATACAGATTTTCTTGGTCTTTTTTTGAGACAGGGTCTCCCTGTAGCCCCGGCTGGCCTTGAACTCACAAAGATCTAACTGTCTCTGCCTCCCAAGCACTGGGATTAAAGGTGTGCCCCACCACACCTGGCTGTGTATACAGATTTAATAAAAATCTTTTCAACACCCCCCAGCAGGTAGCGACAACATGGTAATTCTTGGTAACTCACTGCATGTATCCTTTTTCCTTTGTCAGACTTGCCAATTTGTCAATTTTATTATTTATTTCAAGTAATGAACTATTCCTGTTTATTGATTTTCCTTTCATCTGCTAGTTTGGGGCTTATCGTACTGATGTTTTCCAGTTTTTTAAAAAGATGGAAGTTTAGATTACTAAGCTTTTCTAATATGAGGATTTAGTATGAAAAATTTCCTTGCTAATAATGCTTTCACCATCTCTCAAGTTTGGTATGTTTAATTTTATTTTTATTCAGTTCATGTATTTATTTCCCTTGAAATTTTAAAAAATTTTAGAAATGTGTTGTTTACTTTTCAAGTGTCGAAGAATTAACCTTTGTTTTTTTTGTGGGTTTTGTTGTTGTACTTTAAAATATATATATATATTATTTTTATTTTATGTATATGAGTGTACTGTCTGTATGTACGGGAGTGCACCTGCATCATGCAATGCCATGGAGGTCAGAAGAGGGAGTCGGATTCCTCTGGAACCGGAGTTGGATTCCCCAGAAACTGGAATTAAGGATGGTTTGTAGCCGCCATGTGGGTGCTGGGAATTGAACCCGGGTCCTCTGCAAGAGCAGTCTGTGTTCTTAACTACTGAACCATCTCTCCAGCCCATTGTTGTACTTTTGAGACAAGGTTTCCTTATAGCCACAGCTGGCCTGGAACTTGCTGTGTAGAACAGGCTGGCCTCAATTTCACAGAGATTCACCTGCCTCTGCCTCCTGGTTTACAGAACTCTGGGCTGACAGTCTCTTTCTTCATTTGAAAATTTTATGCTACTTCCTTAGGCCTTAATGGTTTCAAATGAAAAATCAATCATTTTTCCTTACACAGAATATTTGCTTTTTCTCTAGTTGCTTTTACAGTATTTTCTCAGTCCAGTTTTTACAAGTTTGGTATGCTCTGGCATGGCATGTTCAATATTTGTTCAGCTTCTTGACTGTGTAAGGTTAAGACTTTTGCCAAATTTAGGAAATACCAAGCAAGTATGTTTTCAAGTATTTCTCAGTCCTGCACTCCCCTCGCTTCCTCTGGCACTATGATGACAAAGATGTTAAATCTTTCTGTTACTGTTCATAAGTTTCTGGGGTTCTGTTCAACATCACCCCGCCCCCATTTTCTCTGTGATGTTCATGCTGGATAATTTCTATTGTTCTACATCCAAGTTTACTGATTCTTTCCAGTCTGTCTCATCATTCTCTTGAATCCAACCAGTGAATATTTCTCTTCCTTCCATGTTTTTAGAGCAGTGAGAAGTTCACAGCAAAACTTTAATATAAATTTCCCCCTTATCTTAGGCTTCCACATATGCCAAGACACTTCATTAGCAACATCTCCTACAGAGTGGTACATCTGTTAAAACTGATGAACCTATTCTGACATAAAATTATGTCTGAGGTACTAGAGTTTACATTGAACTTATTCCTAGTATTACACTGAATGGGTTTTGACAAATGTATGAAGGCAAATACTTTATCACACTGATTATGACAGCATCATCATAACTTTGTTTTCTATCCATTTCTCTGACCACCCTGGCAACTGATTATTGTATCCATACTTTCTCCTTTTACAAAATGTTAAACTGGAACCATAAATTATGTAATTTTTCATATTGGTTACTTTAACTTAGTAATACTTAAGTTTCATCAATTTCCTTCACACGGGCTCATTCCTTGTTTCTGTTTTTAGCACTAAGTAACATTCCTTTTTCTGCATGCTTCACTTGGTTTATCTACTAATCTACCAAAGGACATCTTGGTTACTTTCAGGTTTTGGTAATGATGACTAAAGCCAGCATAAACACCTACACACAGATTTCTGTGTAGACATTAAGTACTCAATGGATATGGGTAAATACCAAGAAACAGAACTTTTACAGCACAAAAGAGCAGCACTGTTTTATATCCACACCAGCAATGAATCAAGAGTTCCTACTGCTCCATACCCTCCCCAGTGTTTGATGTTCTAGATTTTGGCCATTCTAATAGGTGTGTAGTGGTTATCTAACTGTTTTAATTTTTATTTCCCCAATGACACGATGTAAAGCATATTTTACACAATTATTTTCCATCTACCATCTTTGGTAAGGTTTCTCTTAAGGTGTTCGGCCTATGTTTTGTTTTTTTATTACTGCTGCATTTAAGGGTTCTTTATTTAGTTAATAGTCTTTCATCTGTGTTTTCTAAGTCTGTAGTTTTGCCTCACTTTGCATTTAAGGGTTCTTTATTTAGTTAATAGTCTTTCATCTGTGTTTTCTAAGTCTGTAGTTTTGCCTCACTTTATTTTTTTAATAAATTTATCTATTTTTTATTTTTTGACTTTTTTTGAAACAGCGTTTCTTTATACCATCAGCTGGCCTGGAACTTGCTATGTAGACCAGACAGGCCTTGAAGTCACAGAGATTCGCCTGGCTGCGGCTCCTGAATGTTGGGACTTAGAGGCTTAAGCCACCATGCCTGGTTCCTAGTCATATTTTTAAAAAGCCCTTGCCCACCACAACTTCCGGAGACCTGTAAAGAAACTACAGTCTTGTTATCAGCTTCAATAGAGTAGTGGTAGTTCTATAATCCCAAGGAAAAATGAAGAGTGATTAATATGTCCCTCAGTTGTCTGCTGATGTGATTAGAAGCCTTGACACATGCCTGATGGCAACTAATGATCATGAATGATATGATTCAGCAGTCTACTGTATTCAGATCATGTAACTTTTGGTCTTATTTTGATGAAGAGAGTATCGTTTTTGTAGGCAGAGTCTATGCCAGTTGGCATCTCTAAGTTGTAAACATCTAGTCTGAGATCCGGAAGAAATACCAAGTCCAGGAAACATTCTATAAAGTCATTTTCTGGCCTCAAGTTCCTTAGTAGGTCTGGTCGTCTTTCAACTTTAGGAAGTCTTCTCACATTTTCTTTTTGCAACACCATGGGGTTAGTGTAACTAATGGGAATACTAGGACTATGTGTCTGCTCCATTTAGTGCTCAACTATAGGCACATGTGTATTTAAGGAACCAAAGACCTGTGTTCATATAATGTCAAAATAAATGTAAGACCTGATTTCATATAATGTCAAAATGAATGTAAATGAATTAGAGAAATACAGTTAAATTCTTTTCCCATATACTGTAGAAACGTTACCTTTCTCAGTTGTCCTCCTGATCTTTGGAATAGTGAATTTCTTCAAAGAACTAACTTCTGTATTACTAGTTAATGAAGGTTCACTGTTTGAGGTCATTTTCCATGTCTTGTGCTTCACATTATCTCTCATTTCCATTTTGTTGGTGGCCTAAAACCCAAAGTTATTAAGAGATCAATAAATATGTAAATTGTATGACAGTAAAAAACTTAAGGGGCTGGAGAGATGGCTCGACGGTTAAGAACACTGGTTGTTCTTGCAGAAGACCCGGGTTTGAATCCCAGCACCCACATGGCAGCTAACAACTGTCTGTAACTCTAGTTCCAGGGGATCTGACAGCCTCTTCTGTCCTCCGTGGGCATTGCACGATATGAGTGCACTTACTTACATGCAGGCAATACATGCATACAGATAAAAAATAAAAATAATAAATATTTGCTGGGCGTGGTGGCTCACGCCTTTAATCCCAGCACTTGGGAGGCAGAGGCAGGTGGATCTCTGCGAGTTCAAGGCCAGTCTGGTCTACTACATAGTGAGTTGGTCTTACATAGTAAATACAAGACCAGTTGGGGCTATAACAAAAAAAAAAAAAAAAAAAAAAACCAACCAACCAAACAAACAAACAAACAAACAACCAAAAAGAACTGAGTAATAATATATTCTTGGAAATCCTACTGTTAATAGGTTTTAATTCTAGTTTGTCAGGTTATCTCAAATGGAAAATCATTTTGTATGTCAGAAATAATTACTTTTTATCAGCAGATCTTTCCTTTGTGATTCACTGAAGTATAATTTGGTAAGAAAAACCCATCTATTTTGAAAAAGCTTAAAAACTTGCAGCTGTAAGAGTTTTCAAAAATGTGGTAAAGTTCTTGCCAAATATTCTATTCTGTAAAAGTTATTTTTCCTATACAACCATGTTACTAAAATGATTCTCTTTAAATCACAATCTCTGGATTTAGGAGAAACTTTTGAGAGTCATAAATCAATTATTGATGACTATTCCTAGTGTTCACTGATATCTAAACAAGTCAACTGTTCAACTGGCTGTTGCTCCATAATATTATTCTATAAATATTTAACATGACATCTATATTATACCTATAATAATGAATATAGTTCTCCTTGTTTTTCTCTATATCCCCCTTTTTTTTCCTCTCAAACCATCAACATTCTCCAAACATTGATTCCTAATCTCTCAAGTAGAACTCAAACTAGATACTAAGTGAAGCTACGGAGCTCCCACATAAAGAAACACAGGAGAGCAGGCATTTTCATACCATTCCACAATGTGGTTCACAAGACGCTTGATACCTATCAATTGCTTAGTTCAAACATTACATCGTAATGCAAATTATGAGACAGTAAAATTCTATAGAAGATCACAAAGGTATTTCCCCCCAAGTCTCTATCATTTCTGTGCCCTCTGTGAGAGGAAATCTTGCAATGTTCCAACAATACTTAAAAGTAGGAAGTGGATGAACAACCCCACAAAGAAGAAAATTAGCCTTTTCCTCATCTAACCACACTGACAAACACTAGTGGGATACTTCTTCCTAACAAGAATCCCTTGTAATACACAGCTGCAGTAAATGAGGCCACGTCTAGTTGGCAGCTTAGTAAGGAGAAGGAAGAAAAATCTATTTAGAAAAACATACTACAAAACCCCCCTCCATCATGGCTTATTATCAACAGCATGTAAGGTATGGAACAACTGGTTGAATATACTTAAAAGCCAAGTGCTGAGACAATGCTCAATATTGCCTTCACATTTAAAAGATGTATTCAGAAATGGAATAATGATTTAAATAGATGGTTTCTTACAAAATATTCCTGAAGTAGAATTAACTAATGAACGAAATTTCTGAAATCTGTTCCTCAGAGCTTAGGACACTATGTTGTCACAAAAAGCTAATTTTTCAAATGTGTATGTGTATACTGCCTGCTTGTAGGTAGTAGGTATACCTGTGCCGTGCAATGCCCGCGAAGGTCAGAAGAGGGTGTCAGATCCCCTGAAACTGAAGTTACAGATAGTTGTTAGCTGCCATATGAGTGCTGGGAATCGAACCCAGGTCCTCTGCAAAAGGAGCCAGTGCTCTTAACCTCTGAGCCATCTCTCTAGACCCATCACAAAAAGCTAATTTTAAAAGCTGATAAAGAGGTGCATTTGTGGTACAATGGGGGTCACTATTCTCCATTAAATAAGTTGCATCTTTTAAGTTTCCAATTATCAACTTTCAAGTAGAAATAACATCCTTCTTTTAACTTCAGTTCAAATAAATCAGTCATGTCTAAGTAGTAAAAGAAAATCAGACATTTTTACACTCATCACAGATCCATATCCATTCCATTTATACTATTCTTTTTTTTTTTTTTTTTTTTTTGATAACGGGTCTCCCTGTAGCCCCAGCTGTCCTGGAACTCACTATGTAGACCAGGCTGGCCTTGAACTCAGAGAGATCCGCCTGCCTCTGCCTCCCAAGTGCTGGGATTAAAGGCGTGCGGCACCATGCCTGGTCTTATACTATTACACCCATGTATAAATATATAACATTATATATGTCATACACAATAGTCCTACAACTACTATATATTTATACATATATGTTTTACTTTGATATGTTTAAAATAAAATCAGGAAGTCTGAATCCTAAGGGTTCATGCTGAGGCATCCTCTGGAGTACTAGAAGTATTCTAGATGAATAAAGAGTAGGAAAAATAAATTCTAAAAACTTCAGAAACAGCTACTGTACAACAGACATAGAACTTAAGCACGAATGAATAAAAAATAAGTTGCCTCAAAACTTAAGTATCTATTCACATAGGTTTAAAAAGTATGTATTATGAACAACTTTGAGCCCAAATACTTATAAATTCTTGGAAAAATGTAGCTTACTAAAATTGATTCAATAAGGGGCTGGAGAGATGGCTCAGTGATTAAGAGCACTTGCTGCTCAATCATAAGGATCAGAATTCAGATCCCAGCACCCTCATCAGGCAGCTCACAAATGCCTGTAATTCCACCTCAAAGGGATCTGACTCCCTCTTCTGGGCTCTATGAGCACCCATAGAGACACATGCACACACATAAATAAAAATAAAATATAAGCCAAGTAAGTAATTATTTCAATAATGCACCAAGTGAAATGAAAAATTCACCTGTCATTTTACAGAGTTTAACAGAAATCAATAGAAGCATTCATAACCTGACTTTAAATGTGTACTAAATATTTATAGCAAATTGGTAAATGTAAAAAGTATTCTTAAATGAGGCATGGTGGCTCATTCCTTTAATCCCAGCACTCGAGAGAGGCAGAGGCAGGAGGATCTCTGTGAGAGCATGGCCAGCCTGATCCACATGGTGAGTTCCAGGCCAGCTGGGGCTACCGGGAGACTCTGTCTCAAAAAGACCAAAAAAAAAAAAAAAAAGTATTCTTATTAACATTAATAGTAAAATAAGGATACCTGCTTTTAATACTTCTTAACAATGTGAAGAAATTCACAAAGGCTGAAGAAATAACAAGTATGAAAAACTTTTTAAAAAGTAATGGGGGAAAAGTGAAAGAGCATTCAATGGGTTTGGCAATGTCTAGGAGTGAAAGAGACTAACAATTCCTGAGAGAAAGCTCAGACCCAAATACTAAGCAGATTAAGTAGAATGTTACTTAGGAAGGCAAAAATGTAATAATGGATTCAAATTCTGGTTCGACAAAGAACACTGTGTTAGGAAAAATGCCTAACTCCTCTGTGGTTAACAACAGTGTCTACATTATGTGGTTACAGGACCTGGTGCATAGTAACTGCATAAAACTAAGCATAAATATAAATCTGATGCTGTTCTATGGAATTTTGAGTTTGTCAAGTACAGTAATGTAAAGGTAAACAGTACAGTACTGTAAAGATAAATAGAAGTCAAGTAAGGTCTATTTTAGTTCTGCAATTAACCAGTGATAGAGACCTTGGGCATGTCATTAACTTTACAGTGCATTATCTTACATGCATCATGAATGATTATATATATTTTTCAGAGACAAGCTGATGGCAAAAGAAATAAATCTTTGTAAGTTGAATAAAGATTTAAACACCTCAAGTTCTATTTATTGTGTGTGTGTGTGTGTGGTGTACACGCACGTGCACGGACGTGTGCATATGTCTTGGTGTGTATGTGGAGCTCAAAGGACAAGGTGAGGGAGTCGTGCTGAACCATTCCTCTGGTCCCTCAAGTTCTAGTTTAAGAGGGCATTTGTATTGAGTTTTCTAAGAATATTTATATAAATTAGGAACTTGTACTCTTAGAACCATTAGTTACACATGAAAAATTACTAAAAACAAAGACATCCCCCCCTCAAAAATTTTTTTCAGTTGGTCACTAATAAAGACTTTACTGGGACAACTGTTTCAATGGAACATCAATGGAACAACTCTAAGAGTCCAAGATTTTTCTTAGTAAGACTCAACTGCTAACAGTTGTGACTGTTTTCTACTGAGGAAGCAGTTCAAGACAATTTAAAACTTAAGTGTTAGAAAGTTTTTTCAGTTATCTTTCAAACTTTCACATATGCCATCTTTTTGTTAGCTTACTTAACACCTTAAAAGTTATAAAATTACCCCTTTTCACAGAAAGAATATATTGATTTCAAGGTCTTCTGAAATTAACACTGTTCTGTTTTTACCTTATTCTTACAATTTCATTTGTGCCAAATAACACTAATTGTGCTACCACTGAATATACTCTAATGAAGAAAGTCTACTTTGAAGTCTTATCCACTTCATATAGTATCCACTACTATAATGAAAGAGTTCCTGTTAATAGTCTGTATGTTTTTGAACTTCAGTCACAAACACATAAATTCTGTATTCTGCAGAGTTCTAAATGATGGAGACCTATAATTATTTCTAGTAAAATAAGACTAAATCAGATCATGTAGATGAAAAACAACGTAAATACTTAGATTAAGTCAAGGATTTCTCAGTTGAGATTTCAGTGCAACCTTTCATTTTCTAGATTTGGCTTTGCCACCTACAGCCTGTGGGTTGGATCCAGCCTTCTGCCTTTATAGAGCTACATAAGCTAAAATGTTTTACATTTTCAAGTAACTGGAAAAAAATTAAGAGTATTTCATGTGACATAAATAATTTTTTTAAAAAGT